TCCTTGTTACAACTCACCTTGGATTAGAGTGGGTGAGATTTGAATTCGAATTTGTAGCCATGAAATTACTATTGGTTAAATTGATGGGTGGCATCACCATAGAACTTCCAGCATGTGGATCTTCTTTCATGCCATTAGAGCAAATGCTGGGGCTGACAGAGTTTGGTGGTTCAATGATTAGAGGTTTTGCATCTTGAAACACAGAATGAACATTTTCAGTTGCATCCTGTTGACAATGCCCGCCTTCATAAGCTATCTTTTTTGGTTCTGCATTATCTCCTTTCTCTCCTTTGATTTTAATAACTCTGACTTTGATTTCCTTGGACTTTTTTTCTTTTTCTATTTCCTGAAATAGATATACACAAATCTGAGTCATGAAACATTAATTTTATTACATGAATGCTAACCATAATACAGTTTTACTGACTAAATAGAAAACTAAATTTCTTACCTTCCCCAAACCTGAAGTATTTAGCTGTGTTCTGCTATATATTGTTTTTCTTTCATCTTTCATAAGTTCAATTTCTTTATAATTCTCTTTTGACTTTTTGAGTGAATTGACTTTTGCTTCTTGTACCAATTTAGCTTTCAGTTCTGGTATGAATCTGATAAATTAAAAAAATCAATATAATAACACTTTTTCTAGTATAAATTATCTTAAAGAAACCATCTGATCAATTAATTTACATTTTAGTTATAGCATAAATTGTTGTTGTCAGGTGCCATCAAGTTGGTACTGACTCATAGTGACCCTATGCATAACAGAACAAAAACACTGCCCGATCCTGGTCCAACCTCACAATTGTTGCCATGCTGGAGACATTGATGCTGCCACTTTGCCAATCCATCTCACTGGGGGTCTTCCTCTTTTTCTCTGACCTTCTACCTTACCAAAAATAGTCACCACATAATATGTGGCAAGAGAAGTCACAATATTTACCTAACCCAAGATGCTTCTTGGTAAAGATACATTTTTCAAAAATGTCACCATAGAAATATATTATATAAAACCTCTAGAAAATAGACTTATATGAATTAGATTCCTTTTTGTAATGAGAACTTTACTCAATAAAATTACCACTTTAAATTTTGATATATATGCCATCAGTTTGTCCTTTTTTGTGCTTCTTTAAAGCAACAAGACTTAAAAGATTAACCATTAAATCTTGGAAATCTCACATAGAGATTTTCACACAAAATGTAACATACTACATCAATATTAAAGGGAGGTTTTCTTTCTTTTTTACTTATTTTTTAAAAGAAAATACCTGGTTCAAGATTCAAAAGGTGGCTTTTCCAGTTTGGTCCAGGGGACATATTTAGTAACAGTGAGAATAAGTAGGTCTAGAAAGAACCAATTTAATTTGAGACTGAATAAGAAAAATCAAACATCTCTGTCAAAGTTCTTTTGCATTGCAGGAGGTTCACAAAAGGAAGAAGTCTCTAATCAAAGGAAAAGGGTCTTTCTACATATATTTTCTGAGGGTCCTATAATTTGAACTCAACTGACTTTAGTCCAAAGATAGTTAAATCCTAATACCTAAATGCTCCAGAGAAGTTAATTTAGTCTTTGTAGAATTGATAAAAAGAAAGTTTTTTTATTTAATAACTGGAATTTTCCATCAATGGTACTTTCAATATCTATTCTCATTTTTCATCTTAGAGCAAATTTCCTTTAATACCTGAAATTCTAGATATTCTACAGACTTCTCTTTTCTTTACTTTGGTTATTTTAATCTATCTCCAATGGCAGTTCCTAGATTTTTCCATACACCATCCTGTTTTTAGTTAGTTCTTGCTTTGTAACCTCATGTCTGAAGGCCAACAGAATGGCTTTGCCATTAATGAAAAACTTACTATTTCTCTCAAAGCTCAGTTAATAGTGACTTTTTTTAGAAATATGACTGATTAGTTAATCTAAAGTAGCAATTCTTAAGAGTATATATATGTGGAAGAACAAACAAGATGGTGGAGAGGTTAGAAGGGCAGTGAGGATCTCCATGAGCAACAACACAGAAAACTGGACCAAGCAGGCTCAGTAGCAGGTCCCAAAACTCTGAACCACATATAAAGGAATATTTAGAAAGTTGGAATGCTGGTAGTCAATGGAAATTGTAGCAGAACCAAGAAATCCAGTGCTTTCTAATCCAAGGCATTCAGCTGCTCCATGATCAGCTATCTTGG